ACGGAGAAGAATTCACTAACACTTATTATTAAGCAAATAAAAGACAGGATATTAATATGGAGTGCAACTACCCTCCAGTGTGAAGGAAAACGTTACCTGCAGCCGTACCTATATCCTTCCCTAGGCTAAGGGAACAAGAATCCCTTCAATTTTTTTTTGTCTTTCCAACAAAAATCCTTAGAAACTGCATATTTGCAGTGTATATATGTGTGAAAGCAGATAAGTACGGAAGGAGTGTCTTTGAAAACGAAAATCCAAAGGACTTTTGTTCTTCTAGGCTGGGGAAGGATAGTACACAGCCATGAGTTATGTACTGCGCTGCAAAAAGTTACCTTAGGGTACAGGCAATATGGTACATTGAACATTAGAGCTCACCATTTCAAGAAAGCTGCTGAATAATCGAAGCGAAACATGTTGTCATCGTCCTCGACGTAGTTCTCCGTCAGTAAGTTGTACAACTCCTGTAATTCACCAAGTGAAAGAAAAACTGTGATCATAATGTTAAACAAGGACATAGTGGATATGGAAAAATTCCACTTTTGCGAAGGAAAGCCAAAGGTCACCCAATCGGTAGGTACATGAAGCTCTGCCAGTGTAGAGCACCAACGCTTCGCCTTCAAGTCTATATATAGCACATCAAATTACAATTTTGTGTATACCTGTAGCTGTTTCTCGTCATTCAAATCTACATCGCTCCACATAAATGGATCTGGTAAAGTGTATGGTTCATGGCGAATCTGAAATTGCGTAAAAGTAATCTACAAAACTATATTGTCACCGGTGAAATAAATGATCACCTTTTCTGGAGGTAAATCGGGCTCAATGAAATTGTTTTCATTCGTTGGTTTGTCCTCGTCTAAAAACAGTTGACCATAGGAGTACTGCTTTAAATTTTACTATGCTCAGTCCAAACATAACCCAAATGCTTTCACCACAGGCTGCGTTCTCCAGAAAGCGAAGTTTTTGGTCTGAAGGTGCATGTAAAATTATCGCGAATAAAAAAACGACTTAAATTCACAACAAAGAAAAAAGAAGGGTCTAGCAAAATGTCCGGAGAGGAGGAAACGACATGTCGTCAGGAACCATCCTGTTGGACATCTGAAAACACGATGAAATAGGAAGACGGGCAGGGCGGGCCAAAGTTGGGGCCGCAAAGAGGGCCGTAGTAACTGCATTATACAAGCAATTCCGCGTTTAGAGAAGCACTATTGCATGGATAATTCAATTATCAACCATTTTTATTCCAAATCATACACCAAACTTGTTGCGTAATTCCGGAGTTTTTTGAATAACTCAATCAGAAGGGAGGCGAGAAGGCGCTGGAGACGGACTCACACCTTAATGAGTAAATCCGTCCACTACTACAGACATGGAGAGGACTTCGCACTTGTGTCTTATTTTGCATCACCTTCGCTTCAAGGTTAAAGTCCATCAAGACAGCCATTACATTAACGGTAAGTTAATCAGCGCCGAACTTGATACGCCGAAAGATGGTCCGATTTTAGGATTTTGATGTCTACGGCTGATGTCAGAGTCCGCGATCCTTTGCGCGATTTTCGCGATTTGCGCGATTTTCGCGATTGCGCGACGGGTCACGGAAATCACAAGTGCCCCATCCATACTGCAAGGTGTTCTCCAATCCCGCCGTCACTTCTGCTTGATGGTTATGGTTTAATGGAGACTGCTCATGATTCCACTTGTTTCATATCCAGTGTTTCAATTGTTCAAATGGGGCACTTGCAATTTTTGTGATTGGTTTGGTTTGATTCCTGAAAAAAAAATAGGAACGATTCAAGAGCATTTCAATGAACTAATAGACATTGAACATGAAACAAGTAGAACCACAAACATTCGTCTTCCAATCTTTACTGCCAAGCAGAATTCGCAGCAGGATTAAACAACACCTCGCAGTATTCATCGGGCACTTCCAACTCCTGTGATCCATCGCAGGTTTCGCGAAAATCGCGCAAATCGCGCAAAGGATCGCGGACTCTGACATCCAGCCTAAACCGTTATCATTTCGGCATTCAGCGCTGTGTTTCAGAACTTTTCCGCCATGAAATTCAAATCGCTGCCGCCTCTATGTATCACTTCTTCGCGTTTAGGTGCGTTCGACCTTACAGCCGGAAGGGAAGAAAGATTCAATCAAGGTCAAATGCGCAATAAGTGCCAAAAAAGCGGAAACTCACCTTAACGTCGTGTAGCTTCGCAGCTCCACCGTCCAGCTGTGACATATCGAAACCAACACGCTGAAGTTGCTCAGCCAGTTTAACCATCTGAAAGGAAAGTATTCACAGAAGCACCAATTATATCTTATCTATCATGTCTTTTCTCAGTCTGTGAGATTCAGTCCATCAGCCAAATGATGAGGAAATTTTAACATGAAATTCTGTTTCCCTTCATGAATTAAAAGCTCTTATACTAATCCAAATGAACCTGTTGCACATCAGGAGCATTTGCAAGGCTATTCTGTTCGGAAGAGCCCTCTCCATGCGGTTCCGTATGGTCGTGGTCACAACTGCCACCATCCCCATGTGAGTGGCCATGACCATGACCACCATGCTTCTTCTTTCCCGACATGCTCTTCCTGCAACAAATCAAACAAATCAATAACGATAAAACAAATAGAGGATAACGCACCAAAGCAGAAGCAAGCGACTTCTAAAGACAAGGGCAGAAAAAACACTACATGAATCTATAACACTGCTATCAACGGGAATGTCACGCTAACTTGTGAAGCACTTTAATCGATGCACCAAACCGCAGCCTTGTATTTTTGAGAAGCTTCTAGAGTTCAGACAAATAAAAAACCGAATCAGACACAATCGGATCATGGTACTCTACAATAATCTTATTTTCGAATTTTTATGCAAAATTTCACAGCATTGTGTATGATATCAATTGAATAAAATCTTCTACAAAAAAATAACAAGCATGAGATAGCAAGAGACAAAAGATATTTACAGCATCAACTTCACAGGAACAACCAATACAAAGGAACAGTGAGTAAAGGCACGTTTACGACATACTGCAGACATTTCGTTTAACTATCGTGATGATAAATGTGATAAAATTTGAATCATACCAAGTATTACAAATCTCTAATAGCACAGTTTCGCATTTTCTTTTGAGTACACCCACGAGGGCTTCACTTATATCCTTTCTGTTCTGCGATGTTTTTAAGAAATAGTTTGAATCGCGGAATTTCAAGGTGCTTCCAGTCATCAATAAACCATCTTGAGTTTTGCAGAGAAATACGGAACAGCATAGGACGATAGTAGAGGGGAGACAGCCTGAAAATGATGATCATAAGGATCACAAGCAGACTGGAACGACAGTACAAAAACGGAAGTTGGGCAAAAAAAACAAAACAATAATGACAAGAAAAGCGGTAAGAAATATCATAAAAATCATGATCATCTTGACAACTACGATTCTGCGAGATCACTTGATTCTCAAAAAACCATTTGAAAAAAAAATCCCTCTTAAAACGATTTTCGCAGTTGATTGTTCGGTTGAATTTCTGAACTTGTTTGGTCCGTCTCCTAGCTTTGATGAGAGAGATCCTTGGGACGTATTTCTTTTTTCATGCTGGTGATATTTTGGAAAAAATTATTCCACGGGATTCTTCCGCTCAGGAATACTAGAATCAGGTATACTCACTTAGTTTGTAATAAGTCCTTGCGCAGTTTCACCATCCCACCAGCTGGTTTCCCGATCAGTCTCTCCGCAGCCTCGTCAGAAAAGTGAACTGCTATCACTCCACTGAAGTCAGCTATTTCTGCCTGTAAAAGTGACAGTCAACATTTTATCGTTCGAAAAAAGTCGGGCGCAATGTGGCTCGAGGGGCCAGTCGCCGTGCGCGATCTCTGCTCGTCCGCGCCCTAGAGAACTAAGCTTAGGAGTGGGCAGGAACTTTAGGAAGGTAAAATTGCTATGATCCTGGAGTTCCTCCTCCCCTGCAAGAGGCTTAGTCCCGATACAGCGAAGAGGAAAGCTTACACAAAAAATGCAGAGATCGTGCGCAGATCAAATAAAAATATACCTACATGAAGTGAGTAAAAATATCGAGCCTTTTTGCTGTGGCAATTCTGACAAGATTCGATTTCATCAGGACCTCGAACGACAGCTGTTTACTAGACGTTGAACACCTAAGGTTTCCTTTCACCTAAGGTCTACACCAGCGATTGATCGCTCCCTGCCACAACGGGAGTGATCGCGCCCATCGCGCGATTGGAGCGATTGGTCATGATGGGAGTAATGTGAATCGCTCCAATCGCAGAGTCTGACATCGGCCAATTCGCGCTCTAGAGTAAATCATCATCCCTTTTTGAACTACTAGGAAGCGCGCCAAATTTATGGGATGACAATTTCCGTTATATTTTTCTGTTTTCTCCATCATGTCTCCTGATTCGGCACCATGCACTTCTATATAACCCGCATGCGACAGATTGGTTCAAAATCTCTCACTCTTGACAGAATCGCAAACCATCATACGCCACAATACCCATTCATTTGCGCGCAGCTCATTATTGAAGGTACGCAGCGAAATTTAGCTTCGAACCTAGTTTCGCTTTTTTTGTGCTTACGTTTTCGAACGTGTCTTTTCTTAGTGTAACCTATCGCCCATTTGTTCGTTCCTTGAGCTTATTCCGCACCTATTCTGTCTGCTTATCAGTTGCATCGAAGTTTGGATATGGCCCTCTTTGTATGGATCTTTAGCTCGGATTTCAGATAGATTTCCTTTTTTTTGGTTATGATCATCACGGTTTACTTGAGCTCCACTGCCTATGTTTGCTTTATCAAGTGCTGTCTTCATTTTGCTCGCATTCGCAATTTGCCATAATTCATAAGAAAATCCCAACGGCATTTCTATTCAAGCATCAGTGAACTCTCCTTACGTATCGGTCAACTCATTCATTCAAAGAGTTTCAAGTTTAAAGAAAGGTCTCTTTGATCAGTAGTTTATCCAGGTTACCCCCGCTGACACACATTATCTCCGCATAACGACGTATGACTTATTGCTATGTGCAATTGCTTTTCGCACTTATTACGCCATCTACCAGGAGTACCCTTCTCGTTATTTTTTCTATCGTGCGATGGCCTCCCTTCTTTATATAGGCTGCTCGTTTTGGAGAAAAATTGAGTCCTTTTATCCAATCTAATTATTGCTTCAACTTCACGATGTCGCTACCGTGTCCCGTCGTTTCTGAATTCGCATAGTTACGCCTTTTCGTCTCGGAAATCGCAAATTACTGCTGACATAGCATAACGCAACGTTTATATCTATTGTTTTTCTCCCTTTAGAGGTAATTGAGAGTTAGTGCCTGACCAGGACATTGTGTTCCTACGATGAGTTCGTTAAAGGCTTCACCTATTAAGCAGCCGCTAATGAAAGCTGCACAGCCATTCACAGAGTGTCTTCACGAAATCACCGACCGCAACCCTGACATCCAATGTTCCGCTCCTTCACGAAGTCTTGAAGAAATGGATGTAGTGGACACAACCCACCAACCCGTAGAGGCCGAATTGCCAGAGTGTTACGAATGGGCGCTAATGTCCCTCCATTTTCTGCGTAGTAGCCCCAATCCAGGATGCTGTGTGTCCACCGCAATTGGACAAATTCTCGCTCTTCTTGGAAGAAGAAGCAGGAATCTTCTGCTCATCCAAAAAATACTACTGGCCAAGCGACCAACTTTGCGTCCATATTCTCCGAGCGCGAGCTTCAGCTGTACTCCAACGTGGCTATATTCGATATATTCCACGATCTTGAAGGCGTCCGCAACCAGTGCGACCATCTCATTGACTACATTTAGCACTATCCCGTTTACTACATTTAGCATCTGTCAGAATTGACTGTTGCACCTCAGGGAGCTGCTCTTTTTCAGCACATTCAGCAACTGCGCAGTCTCACAGATAATATACTTTTTTCTTTTTTCGCAGGAACCAGGTGAACCCACACTTACCTGACACATTAGCTCAGTACAATCTCCATTATGCTGACTTTGAGCAAACATTCGCCAAGGCCACAGCCACGAATAGCTGAAGCTCAAGAAATCATTCATGCGCTGAGCGATCGTCATTTAAAAGATTCTCTCTGCGGATGAAGACACTACGTACCAATCCATTCAAGAACCCACTCGCAAAACGCAAAAGCGTCGCGAAATCGATTCTCCTGGAAACAACCACCCACCTGCACGCAATCTGAGCGCATCGTCGCAGCATGACAAATCAGCACCTCTGCCCCGCAGCGCTGCTTCGCTCATGGAAGCTCCTCGCACGCACCCGTAGGGTGGCTCTTTCAGACCCGTTTGGGCGGCGCACGAATGCCACCCTGTTTCTACGCGTCGTTGCCTTTTCTGAAAAAAGCTCATTCATCTCTGGGTGCCAAGTTGTTGCGAAACTGTCAGGGCCTATAAAACTGCATGCCGAGAAGAGGCGATGCTTCAAGTGTGGCGGCCTGCACTCCGAAACGGACTGCACGTTAAAGAAAAAATGCAAAGCTTGCAAATCATTCAACCATCACATGGCATTTTGTTATTACAACAAAAACGCTGACGTTGACGTAATCGGCCTTGAATACGGGTCTTTGATTGACGAGGCCATGCTTCGCGCACAGGAAGTCCGCCGCATTAGGAGGAGGCCATTATTTAAAAATAAAACTCCGACGGGCTAGTACTTTCCTGGTAGTGTGTTCGTAGAATTCACGCACGTACCGCAGTACTAACGCACTTGCCGATTTTCAAAAAAAAATTTACGCACCTGCCGACTTTCAACAAATCTTACGCACTTGCCCATACTTGTAAATTCCACGCAATCGATACATGGATAAGTCAATGCCTTTGCCAATGTTTGAAAAATGTTACGCGTTTGTCGACACCCGGAAATTTGCGCACCTGTCGATTCGACGTAGTTACCGAATTCGAATAACCCCACCGCACTTGGCAATATTTGGTGTACCCCTAGATATTTACCCTGCTCGCACTTGACATTTTTACCAACCCATGCAGTGATGGCCTTCCAGCGCCTTCCAACCGATCCGTGCTTAACAACTTCTTCAATTGAATTCCATCGCACACTGAAAGATACGCAGCTTACGAATAATTTACGTCATTTAAAAGTTACCGCAATTTCCTCTAGACGGCATCGGGTCATTGTATTGTACACAACATCTTTTGCTTCAATCCGGGATACTATGTCGCTCCCTGTTGCCATTTTTGCTTGACCTGGTTCATTATTTTGGTGGGACAAAAAGAGGCAAAACTCCCACAAAAATAGTTCCCAGCGGAAAAATGTTCCCCGTACCCGTGTTTGCTCAATCCATGATGCTCACGGTCTCCACGTCGTACGCCAACTCGCGCTCATCCAGTCGACGATCTCCAATTCACTGTTGGTCGTCACTTAAGACACCGACAACCGGTACCAGAAGCCATCACGACAACATTGATCTCGCGCAACTACAGCACCATTGTGTACATTCACATGTTTTGGTTGTATACAGTGCTGTGTTTTTTGAGAGTAGTAAGTTGTTGACCCGGACGTCATCCAGCTCGGTGCCCCCCTTACGAACCTCTCCGCAA